GAGCAAAAGGTAAATTTTTTTTTGCACCTCACATTTTTTATTCTACAATGATTTTTTTTTTTCAAAAAGTGATACTAATCTCATTATTCATTAGTTTTTCATCTTTTTGTTTGTTTTTGAGCCAGGGTTTCACTGTGTAGCTTTGAAGCCTGTCCTGGAACTTGCGCTGTAGACCAGGTTGGCCTTGAACTCATAGAGATCCGCCTGCCTCTGCCTCCCAAGTGCTAGGAGTAAAGGCTGTTTTTCATCAATTTTTTACATTTATTTATTTATTTTGGTTTTTTGAGGCAGGGTTTTTCTGTGTATCCCTGGCTGTCCTGGAACTTAACTCTGTAGATCAGGCTGGACTTGACTCATAGCGATCCACCTGCCTCTGCCTCCAGAGTGCAGCAAAGGCATGCGCCACCACTGCCCTGCTTATTTTTTACATTTATTCATTCATTCATTGAGAGCTTGTGTGCCAAGGTGACCGTGTGGAGGTCAGAGGTCAACTATGTGAATCAGTTCTCTCCTTCAGCCATGTGGTTCCTGGGGGCCACACTCAGATCGCCAGCCTTGACAGCAGGCAGCTTTACTCACGGAGACCTCTCCACCCTCGGTACTTTAGTAAATATGTGAGTATCTGTGAGTACTTGTCACATGTGTGTGGGTACGCACAGAGGCCAGAAGAAAGTGTTGGATGCCTTGGCGTTGGAATTCTAGGTAGTTGTGAGTAGTTCAAAGAGAAGTTAGGTTCTGTGAATTTAGGTCAAGAGCTGCCGGTGATCTTGACCGCAGAGCTGTCTCTCAGTCCCTCACATTTGTGTTGTAAGGTTTATTGTGATTTGAAGTCCTGGGGATTGAACCTGGGATGTTGTGTATTTCACTAGCTCTTGAAACACTTTTGAAAAAAGACGGCATCTGTCTAAGTCAGTCCTCCCGCAGCCCTCCAGTAGCTGGGACGACAGGCTTTTGTCACCAGCCCCGCCTCTGACCTCTAACACTTGTAATTTGAGGCCTCTGTAATTGCTGCGCATGCGGCTTTACTTACACGTTGATACGTTTTTAGAGCCTTGATGATAACGGGCGTGCATGATAAAAATAAAAATACCATATATATGATAAATATATATGTGTTTTTTTCTTTTTTTTAGATTTTTATTTTTATGCGTATGGGTGTTTTGCCTGAATATATGTCTGTGTACCACATGCATGCTTGGTGCCCATGGGGGCCAGAAGAGGGGATTGGATCCCCTGGAACTGGAGTTACAGGTGGTTATAAGCCACCATGTAGATAGTGAGAATTGAATCTTTGGAAGAACAGGTGCTTTTAACTGCTGAGCCATCTCTCCAGCTCTTCTTCTTCTTCTTCTTTTTTTTTTTTGTCTTTCTTGACAATTAGTTTTGGAAGTCAAATAAATGAGAAAATGCTTGTCTTGTAAGCACTGCCTTTTCTGGGTTGTCCAGAACATTTCACTTTAGGGGTTGCAGGCCACAGACTGGGTCAGGAGTCTGGTGACGGCCATAGACCAGCTGTCCAGCCTCTGCCAGGTATCCCAGAGGACTGAGTATACCTGTGGTTCTGTGCTGCCCATCAGGTACAGGGCAGAGTGTCTGGAAGTCCTATCCAGTTTGGACTTACTGTTTGTAAGTCACTGGGAGTAAACTCATCTGTAAGGCTAAAGTAATAGAGGGACTGAGGGTGATGTAGCACTTATCACTGTGTCTGAGGCCTTGGGTGTCACCCTATCACAGCAAAACACAGAAGAGACTGATGAGTTCTGCTTATGGTGCGTCTTTATAAGGAAGATGATAAAGTGTTCTCTCCATGTTGCAATGGAGTGTATCTGTTGTGGTACATGATGCATACACATGTTTGTGACTTTGGGTTCTGAGGGTTGCCTCTAATTGTACTGAGAGCTACTGTGGGATGTCTTTCTGTATGCTGTGAACATGTGTTGTGAGTACTGGTTGATAAATAAAGCTGCATTGGCCTATGGCAAGGCAGCTTAGAGTCAGGCGGGAAATCCAAGCAGATATATACAGAGAGAAGAAAGGAGAGCAGGAGAGAGGCCAGCTGCTGCCAAAGGAACAGCACGATGCCAGCAGACCGGTAATGCCACGGCCATGTGGCAACTTATAGCTTAATAGAAATGGGTTAAGTTATAAGAGCTAGCTAGCGAGAAGCCTGCTGTAGGCCATACAATTGGTAATTAATATAAGCCTCTGAATGATGATTTTATAAACGTGCAGGGCCAGAGAAACCTTCTGACTACAGAGGGCTGCCAATTTGGCCCTGAAATTCTCTGCATTTTGTGTCTCTTGTTTTTCCCTTTTTATCTATTCTTCCCCCTTAAATGCAGTTTAGTGGGATGTTGCAACCTAATGATCATTTTTCTACTGAAGCCTTCTTCAAGTTTTTCTCGGTTTTCAGGGAAAACCATAGCTTTGTTTTGTTTTTCAGCCTCTGCTTTTCGGGATCAAGCCTCGGCGCTGGGAGTTCCTGTAGGGATCCTCTCTGCCAGAGTGTTCGCTCGCAGTGTGCAGCAGGTCTGCGTGGAGTCCAGCCATCCTGTGCTGCTCAGCTCGGAGCAAAGAGTGAGTGGCCAGCCCCATAAATGAGGACATGTCCCTTGTAAGCTGTTTGGGAAAAGAAGGTATTTCTTTATTTTTAGATAATTCATCTTTTTTACAAAAAACAAAATTGTGTCTGTTTTTAGAAGAAACTATCATCCTTGTTAGAGGTTTCTCAGCATTTGTTGGCACGTAATATGTTCTCCCGCCTCACCTTCTGTCAAGAACTGTGGAAAGCCCAGGTAAATTTGAAGTTCTTCCACTTGGGATTTTTTTTTTTTTTTAAGCAGTGCTCTGTTGGTTTGGGTCTATGAGTTTTCTTGGGAATTTGGCCAAGTATCTCACTAATTAAAGAGCCTGAAAGAAGGGTTCGTCAGGTCCTTCTGGGAGTGGAAGAATGCTTCGGTATTGTATGTCAGTTTCTACCCAGCATTAGTTGTAATTATTAGCATAGGGTACATAGCTGCCTGTAATCCCGGTTTTTGAAAGATACAGGCAGGAGGATCTCTAAGTTCAAAGCCAGCCTGGTCTACATAGAGAGTTCCAGGACATCCAGAGCCCCATGGTGAGACCCTGTCTCCCACCAAAAAGATAGGACATAACATATCAGAATCGTGATCCTCTGACTTCTTGGGTATGCTATTAGGAAGGCTCTTCCAGAGAACATATACTTTTAAAACTATAGTACTAAGAGCTAGAAGTGTAGCTCAGATGATGGGGTGCTTATCTAGCTTGCATGAGGCACTGGATTGGACCCCCAGCTCCTCATACACTGGGCATAGTGATACACACCTATCATCCTAGCGCTTGGGCGTCAGAGCCAGAGGATCAGGGGTTTGAGGTCATCCTCGGCAGCATAGCAAGTTCCAGACCAGCCTGGACTACATGAGACCCTGTTCCAAAAAACAAAATAAATGATACTAGTAAGCTCTATTTGAAACATTAATTTTTTTTAATCTTTATTGTGCATGTATGTATGTATGAGTATGCTCTCCAGCCATGGCATGTGAGTAGAAATCAGATGACAGTTTCCAGGTAGTAATTTAGAATGCAGAGGGCACAGTGTGCAGTGACTTACTGGAGACTCCTGGGAGGAGGTCAGAGCTGTCTTATACAGCAGAGGAAAAGCCTTGCAGGACAATAAGGGATGTGAATGCTGTGCAAATGGGAACCTGTGACATGGGCCCTTTAGGCCATGCTGTGATACTGTTTATTTTTTCAGTGGGCATAGGAGCATAACCTGAGCTGAACATTCTGTAGGGAGATGCACATGTTAGGATAATGTTGTTGTCTTTTTCAGAACTCTTTGTTGCTTGAAGCTGTGTGGTGTCTTCACACGCACAATGTTGTGAGCCTACAGGAGCTGCTGCACAGGTAAGTTTGTTGTGGGATGTTTGAGCAAACTGTGTAAAGATGTGTTGCTGTTCCACCTTGCCTGCCTAAGGCACCTGGTTGGTTTAATAAAGAGCCGAATTGCCAATAGCTAGGCAGGAAGGATGGGTGGGGCTTCTGGTGAGAGAGGGGAACTCAGGGTTAGATTCTGCTTGTGGAGGATTCACCAGTGGGACACATAGGAAGTCGGATGTACATTATGGAGGAGAGGTAACAAGCCACGTGGCAGAACACAGATGAATATAAATGGGTTAATTTAAGTTAGAAAGAGCTAGTTGGGAACGCGACTGAGCTAAGGCCCTGGGCTATAATGTCTCAGAAAACAAAACAAAAAAGTTAACTAACTAAAGAGATGTCCAGGTAAACACTGTTGATATATATAATATTTACTCCTTTCTGAAATTACTTCAGGAGCCATATTTTATTAATTTGTGTGAGGGTGCGAATGTGCCAAAGCACTTGTGTGGCATTTAGGGTTCAACTTATAGGAGTCAGCTCTCACCATGTGGCTCCCCAGGATTGAACTCAGGTTGTCAGGCTTGGCGGCAAGTATCTTTTCCTCACTTGCCAACCCAGAAAAGGAACTTTTATAACAAGAAAAGGAACTTTTATAACACGACATAACCTGATAAAGATGGAATAGCACAGAAGAAGACAAAGAAATTTGGAAGAGGGAAGTAGATGGACCAGCAGTGAGATATTTAGCAAACTTGAAGCTCTGTCCTGAGCCAGCAGCGTGGATGAAAGACAGCCATCTAGTCTATTTGATTTATTCATAAAGGCACAAGTATTGGGAGCATTTATACCTTAGGAGGTCGGGTGAAAAAGTCAGAACGGCCTGGTTACAAGGCCTTTGAAGTGTTTGGAACCTCACCCCTCTAGTCCACCAGAAGGCTGGAGACCAGCTCCCACACTTATTTGCCCCCAGGGACTCTAAGGAAATGAGGGATAAGAGACTTAGTTAGAAATATAGAGGAAAGAGAAACAGAAACACAGGATAGCCTCAGGTGGGCTTGGATCCTTATCCACTGGCCCAGAACTTGATTCCAAAGGGCTTTTTATAACAATGCCAAGGGAAAGGGCAAAAGACCTCTCCCTGCTAGATACAGCTAAGTGTAGACCCTTCCAAACACCTGGTACCCAGGCCCGTGGCCCAATCATCCTCTTATGCGCTCCTGCTGGGTACAGCCACTAGGAAACCTCGGTGGGCTCCAACAGCCTACCATGACCAAAGCCCCAGATTCAATTCCTAGAACCACCAGATGTAGTGGCATACACCCATAATCCCGGTACTGGGAGTTTGAAGCAGAAAGATCAGAGTTCAAGGCCAAGCTTAGCTACAGAGTGTGTAGTCTGGGCTGTATGAGACCCTGTTTCGAAAAGAAAGGGAATAAAAAAAAAAACAGGTACCCAGAATTTCTGAAATAGAACAAAGTGCAGGTCATTACATTAGTTAGAATAAACTTAAAAGGGTTGAAGTCATTGAAAATAGTTTTTCTACTCACAAAACAATTTTGTTGTTGGTTTTTTTTTTTTTTTTTGGGGGGGGGGGAGGCAGGGGTTGAACCTGTTAGTAATTATTTCATTATCACTGAGCTACATTTTAATTTTATTTTTTCAAGGCTTATTTATTTTTCTGTGTATATGTGTGTGCTTGGGTGTATGTATGCAGTGCCAGACGAGGGTATCAGATCTTGAAACTGGAGTTACAGGTGACTGTGAGCTGGCGTGAGGGTACTGGGAATTGAACCCAGCTCCTCTAGAAGAGCAGTCTATGCTCTTAACCTCTGAGCCATCTCTCCAGCCCCCACTCCCCCAAATGTTTTTTAATGATAGCGTTCCACTATGCAGCCCTGGCTGTCCTGGAACTGTTGACAGTTTAGACTGTCCCCAAGCTTACAGAGATCCACTTGCCTCTGCCTCCCCAGTGCTGGGATTAAAGGCATGTGCCACCATGCCCGCTTATTAGAAAACTTTTAAAAATGGTGTTTTTCTTGAGTTAGCAGCAGCCAGGCAGGTGCCCTGCCCCTGTCCACTTTGGTCCTTGAGACAGGATTTGGCAGCTGATATCTCCTTCTTATCAGCCAACATTTCTAACTTCGGTTCTTTGTGTCCTCAGCCACCCTGACATGCAGGCCATGACCATGTGGCTCTTCAGGAACCTATGCATTCTGTGTGAGCAGATGGAAGCCTCCTGCCCACCCTCTGATACTACTAAAGCCATGCTTTCTGGTATGTTCATAGCAGGCGGGGTCCTGGGGACAGTTACTCATTTTGACCCTGGGGAGTAGAGCAGCCTCTCCGTTCCTGTGGGCCTAGGGCCTAGCATGAAATGAACTGGCCAGGTCAGCCATGGGCTTCTGTTTTCTTGAGTGGCAGGAGTTGGGTGTTCTCTTGGGTAGCCCCAGCTCCTTCTGCTGTCTAGACTGTACTGCCAGCAATCCCAGAGACGTAACACCAACTCAAAAAGGAGAAGCATGTGCTCTGCACAGGCGGCTTGTAGGTTTTTTTCTCTTCTTTGTCTTTTGAGACAGGGTCTTACTGTGTAGCTCTAGCTGGAACTTGTTATGTAGACCAGGCTGGACTCAAACTCAGGCATCTACCTGCCTGCCCCTGCCTCTTGAATGCTGGGATTAAAGGGGTGTTCCTCCATACTTGCTCTTCTCTTGTTTTTTGAGAAAAAACAGTCTGACCTCTCATATTCATAGCAATCCTGCCTCAGCTCTCCCCCCACCCCCCGCCCCCCAAAAAAGCTGGGATTATAGCCATTTAACCATCATGTCTGGCAAGTTGTATGTTTGTTTGTTTGCCAAGGATACTTTTCCAGTGTTATGAACTGCTTATATTTCCTGTAATCTGCCCTAGATAGGTAAAGTTTAATCAAATATAAGACAGAAAACCTCAATTCCAGGCTTCCTTATTCTGATCTTTAACGTTATGGCTCAGCCAGGTATGGTGGCTCATTCATTTAGTCCCAGCACTCCAGAAGCAGAGGCAGGCAGATCTTTATGAGTTCAAAGCCAGCCTAGTGCATATAGGGAGCTTCAGGCCAGCCAAGGCTACTTAGCAAGACTCTATCTCAGGCCCACCCCAAATATAAAATTATGAATCAGTTTGTTTTTCTCATTCCTCAGAATGTGATGCTTCTGTGGAATAGTGGTTTAGAGTTTAATCACAGCTACTCCGATTGGATTGGTAGGACTGAGATTGAAGGTGATATAGGCAATTTAGCTTCAAGACTCTAGTCTCAAAGCAAAAAAAAAGCATGTAGTTTTTCAAGTCCTTGACTTAATGGTGGACAGCTAGACTGGCCTGAAACTCACAGTCCTGGGCTGGAGAGAGGGCTCAGTGGTTAAGAGCTGTTCTTCTAGAGAACCTGCATTTGATTCCCAGAACCCATATGGCAGTTCACGACCGTCAGTAAGTCCAATCCAGGGTACCCAACACCCTCTTCCTCTGGCCTCTATGGGCATTGAGCTCACCTGGTGTACCTCTGTCGGCGTAGGCAAAACAATGAAACACATACAATAGAAATGAAATCTTAGAAAAGAAGTCCTTATCATAAACTTGACTCTGAGAAGTTGGATAAATGCTTGGGCCTCAGTCACGTGGACAGTGACTGAGTTCACCCGGGGCTCGGGGCTCTACTGAAGAGCAGTTTCCCTATCTGCACACATGTACTCCCTGGAGGTGGAGGTGGCTTGTCCGTGAGTCATTGCTGTTTGGAGAGCATAATGCTTATAAATTACTTTGAGGTTTTTTTCTTTCTCAGGTTTTGTGCAACTATTAGTTTCAAGGGGCTTTCAGGAAAGCTCGGATCCAAGACCTGTGGAGCCTGAGAAGATGCCTCAGGTAGGGAGGAAAAATTAGAAAGGAGAATTAGGCTTTTTGGGGT